TCATGGGAACCAAGTGTTTATATACTGCTATAGAATAACCTCAAGCTCAAAAATGCCATTAGCAGTTTGTTAAAAAAAATTCTTTAAATATTTAAAAGCGTTCATGTTAAACAAATACCTTCAACGTTATAAGCATTCATTGTAGCTCTAAAATTAAGACTCTTCAAAGGCACGTGGATTTTTGCTTTCTCTCACTAGGTAGCAAAATCAAATATTGCCAGAAAAAAAATCTGAGGAACAGATGGAAGTGTGCAGGGAAAGGAAAGTACCTCGAGAAATGTGCTGGTCCACTGGAATTCTTTTTCTGGCCAAAAGAAGCTTCCTCACCCCTAAGCAACCAACTATACGCACCTGTGTGGGGTACTCGTGGACACACAGAGGCAAACAGCCCCGCACGCATACACTGATACCTTTGAAACGGGCACTACAGGCATCAGAATGCAAGCAGTTTCCACATGCATTTATTCCTAACCCTCTTGTTAGTCACTGATTTATGGCTCTCTGCTATTCCATTCCAACTCCTACAGCCTCTGCTTTGGACCCAACATACCTAGCCATGAGGCCAACTCCCTTTCACACATCTACCATACACAACCAGAGGGAGGAAGGGCTGGAAGCAAAGGCTCAGGATTTCTTCCACCAAGTAAAGTGCAAAAAATCAAACTGGATGCCCAGAGCCTCAGTTTCCTCTTCTTTTCGGTGACTGAGTGTGTGCTATGGGGCTTCAGTCTCTCCCACTTCTCCCGTCCTTGACACGATCTTGTAATTTATGTCACAAAGTTTTGCTACCCATTTCCTAGGACATTCTTCTAGACAGATCGTTATTGCTGACTCCCTACATGATAGACGCTCTGGTTCTGGAACAAGAGTCAGCATTAACTACTGTCCATCTCCAAAACTCTGCGCCACTGGGAGAGAAAGTGAGGGAGGAGACTATTTTCATCTCAGCAATGCACTCAGGCACCCAGCATCATTACGTGGGCAGCCCACATCCTGTTAAGCCAGACCCCTCACACTGGCAATTACCGTATGGAATTAAGGACGCCCTTGGCCACCTGCCTGGTGCCTGCAATACGTTCCTTTTTTATCCTGTTTATCTTCACAGTCATCTATTTGTGTCAAGCAAGGAAGCAGAAGCACAGCATCTGTTAGCAGAGTGACACCGTTACCAAATACTTCTATAAGGCAAAGAATCGGCAAGAAACCCTAGTTTTGCCTCAGGTGTTCCAGTGGACACGGCATCGGTGTGTCCACCACGGTATCTGGTTTGGGGTGAGCCTGTGGTGTGAACAGCAGATTCACCAGCTCAGCCAGATGCAGCCTCCCCTCTTCTGAGCTGGCAGAAGAAAGCAACCCTCACAGCCCAGCCTAGCTTCCACCTCCCTAGAATAAAGCAGTGGAGAAATCAAGGGACTTTGCTCCTGGTTCCTTTGCCACTACTACTATGAAACCTACGGAAGTCGAATGTCTGATCTTGAAAAACTCCTTGCTCTTCTCTGACACTTAGACGTTGGCAAGGAAAGGTGACCATCCGAATGTTGCAAGGCCAACTAGCTGTGGCCTTTTTTGGCTACAATCAACAGGTCTGTGTGACTCTTTGCTACATGTGCCTTATTTTTATGGTTTAGTCTTCAGACTGGAGAGAGAGGCGCAGTGGGAGAGAGACATGTTAGATATCAAGAGGGCCTAACAGGGTCCCCCAGTGGGCCAATGAGGTCCCATTGCGGGGAATCTCCGACACACCAATGGGCAGGCGGGATACAGCCCCCTGGCCCATCCAGGGCCAGCGCACTTTCCTCTCCGCTCCCGGCCGCTCCCCTCCCACCCGCCCAGGTGAGCCTCTACAGGTGGCGGCGCACCCTTACCTGCCAGGCTGCCGGGCCTCTGGAGCGTGGCCGTGGCATACAGCTCCTGCGAGTGCTTGCTGTACTGCTCGGACGCGTGCACCAGGCGCTTGGTGGGCGACAGGGTGGCGTAGGTGCCGATGGTTGAGCTCAGCTGGTGGATGGGCGAGGAGGAGATGGTGGACTGCACGGTGGGGGGCGAGGTCACGCGGATCGGGGACAGGCCGGCCGAGGACACGACCATGTTGATGGGCGAGCTGGTGCTGTAGGACTTGGCCAGGCGGCTGGGCGACT